AGTATCAAATGGTTCTGAAGCTGCTACAAAATCTAAGGCTCTAAGTCAACTGAAGCTATTTAGAGAGTTAAAATTGAAAATTTAGTAACTTTTCTTTTATATGGATAGAGGAAGAAGGGAAATTATTTATACAACTCAAGACCAAAAGTATGACAGCTGCACAACCTTTGTATGTGTTTCCATCAGCATATACTCATAGAAACATAGAATCACAGAAGGCCCCAGATAACTGAAAGCTGGCTAACATCCCAATTTTCAAGAAGGGCAAGAGGAATGACCCTTGTAACCACCCACCTGTCAGCCTCACTTCAATGCCTGGCAAAATCTGGAGAAGATTATTCTGTGAGTTATTAAAAAATACCTGAAGGACATCACAGTCATCATTCACAGCCAGCATGGGTTCATGAGGAGAAAGTTCTTCTGATACCCATTCATTACAAGATTCTCCACCTCATCGATCAAGGGAAGACAGTTAATGTAATCATAGTTTTGGATTTCAGTAGTCATCAATGCTGTTTTTCACAGTGTCCTGGACAAAATGTCCAGCATTCAGCTGGATGAACACATCATCACAAGCACAGCAACTGGCTCGTGGGTTGGGCACAGTGGGTGACAATGAATAGGGTGACATGAGACTGGTGATCTGACACCAGTGGGGTTCGACTGCCCTCCATTCCAGACCCAGTACTCTTCAATGTCATCATAGATAACTTAGATGCAGGATTTGCAGGCATACTAAGCAGGCTTGTCAAAAACTATCTTGGGAGGTTGTTGTGGATCAACCTGGGCCAAATGGCAGGCACCAATGAAAGCTGTTCATTAATTTCCCTCTGCAGCTGGACACAGGAGAGAAAATATAACAAAGAGTTCAGGAGTTGAGATAAGGACCAGGAAAGACCCCTCATCAAATACCATCATGGGCAAAACAGGCTCAGCTTAGGGATATTAGGTGAATTTATTACTTACAAAAAAAAAAAAAAAATCAGAGCAAGATAATGAGAAGTAAAACAAGCCCTTAAAACCACCTTCACCCCACCCCTGCGTCTTTCTTATCTCTATCTCCTACCCCAGCAGTGCAAGGAGACGTGGAATGGGGGTTATGTTCAGCTCATCTCCTGTGGCTTCTCCTGCTGCTCAGGAAGAGAAGCCATTCCACTGATACATCATGGGGACTCTCCCAGTTCTCCGTGAACTTCTCTGATGTCACTCCATCTCACAAGCAACAGCTCTCTGCGAACTGCTGCAATGTGAGTCCACCCCACAGGCAGCTATCCTCCCCAAACTGCTGCAGTATGGGTCACTCCTCCCTGGGGTTGAAGTCCCTCAAGGAAAGGCTACTCCAGCACAGATCTCCCACAGGATCACAACTCCCTCCCAGACATCCACCTGCTTTGGTGAGGGCTCTTCCATGGGCTGCAGGTGGATCTCTGCATGCCCATGGACCTCCATGGGCTACAGGGACACAGCTGCTTCACCATGGTCTTCATCACAACCTGCAGATGAATCTCAGCTCCAGCACCTGGTGCACCTCCTCCATCTCCTCCTCCACTGACCTTATGGTCTGCATAGTTGGTCTTCTCACATGTTCTCATCCGGCTCTCCTCTGGCTGGAATTAAAACTGTTCAACAATTTTTTGTTTATCTTTCTTCTTAAATGTGTTATCACAGAGGCATTACCACCATTTTTAACTGGCCCAGGCTTGGCCAGCATGTTTATCTTTGTAGACACCAGGGATTGGCACTGCCGAACGTGACGGAAGCTTCTAGCACTTTCTCACAGGAGCCACCCCTGTAGCACCCCCTCCTACCAAAAACCAATGCAAAACCAATAGAAGAGAAAAGAAACTGAGGGTGTCTTGTTCAGACAAGATGGATCAATATAATGATCTTGAAAGAAGTGGCAGATCTGCAATAGAACAAAGCTCTTTTTACCCTTCACTATAGTTTCAGGGCAATAGGCTTAAAATTACTAGAAACAAAATTTAGATTTCATATCAGGAAAGGCAAAATTAAAGATCTGATAGAATGGACAGTGAAACTGGACAGTGAAACTTCGAATTAAATTTCACCACCTATCTGAGCAATCTTCTTACTGCAAGTGTACTATTAACTCTCAGAAACATCACAAAAATGCTGATGTATGTCTGCTTTGATTCAGCAGGTTTAATTTGTAAAATTTTATCTTTGAAAAACTGTGTTTTCTCTTTAGAAAGATGAGAGGCTTTTGGACTCTATCAGAGCACAGAATAAAAATGACTGTGTTTGGTCTGAATAGAAATCTACGAAGTCACACATCTCTTTTTGGACAATGCCCAAGGCAGGTAAAAGGAGTAACACCAGCGCAAACATATTCCCTATGAAATCTCCCAAGGCTCAAAATGTGGCAATCAGACCTTTCAATAATGTAATCTCTTGAAGAAGTTTCTTTAACATTCTTCATAAATGCCATTTACCTTACCTACAGACTTTTGACTGGATTTATTTTCTTTTTTTAAGAAAAAGCTGTGGAGTAATAAAGAATTTGTTTCTTAAAAATGAGTACTTCTTTATACAATGCATGATCCAGTCAGCTGGTGAACTGAAACTAACTTTTCTTTAAAACATGAACAATTAAATGCTTGGGTGAGAATGTGTACTTTTTCACCCTCTGTGTTTATGGACCAAGTTTACTGAAGCATGAATGAACGTTTCTATTAAAGAGGACTAAACTTAGGAAAGAAAATTGATAAACAAAGTGCCCATATACCTAGATTGATACAAATAGGTATCAAAAGGAACTGGCGTAACTTTTGAACCCAGACTACACCAACGTCCAACCTGAACTGCACAGGATGCAACCTCATTCCCATCCCCTTTCACTGGTCAGGAGAGACGACAGCATCTCCCACTCTGCTGCCCCTCTAGCCTGCTGCCTTCTCTTTTCCAAGCTGAACAAAGCAACAGTTGCCTGTCCTTCTCATATTATGGTGCTCAAAACAGAGCAGAGTGGGACAAGCCCCTCCCCTGCCCTTGCCCAGATGCACCCCAGGACACAGTTGGCCCTCCCCAAACTGCTGCAGTATGGGTCACTCCTCCCTGCGGTTGAAGTCCCTCAAGGAAAGGCTACTGCCTGCCAGGGTGCTGCTGACTCCTTTTCAACTTGCCATTAACTCAAATCCTCAGATATCTTTCTGCAGGGCTGCTCTTCAGCCTCTTGTCCCCCAGTTTGTATGTATTATTATCTCATTTCATTTGGAGAATCCGACACTTGCTCTTTTTTAAATTTCATACATCTGGTGATCCTGCTCTATAGTCTAATCAGATCTGTAAGGTCCCTCTACCCTTGAGCTCACAGCTCCTCCTAGATTAGTTGCAACAGCAAATTTACTTACTGTGCATTTGATTCATATGTCCACACTTAGGAAAACATTATATGTTGCATTTTATACAAAGCATACTGTCTTAAGCTTTGAAAAGGCTTATGTCAAAAATATAGGCTCATACTTTCCCAGCTGAAGAAATCAGGAAATTACACCCAAAAGATTTCATGATTTAAGAACTTTCCCTGTATCTTGTAGTAAAATCTTAAACTTATCCATCCATCCTGATAATACCTTGAAGAAATCTTCTTGTTTTATAATTTCTTAAAATAAGAATGTTTCAAGATGGAAACTAAATACCGTGCAAGCCACTTGGACAGAGAAAAATCACACAAAAATCTCATCAGACGACACCACCCCAGAGCGTTGGATCAATTCTGCAGAGGTTTAATAGATAACAGTTTGGAATACCATCATCAGTAGTACCATGAAACAAGATACCTGTAGCAAACAGAAGTCTATTCTGAAACTATGAAGCAGTCCACTCATACTGGGTCTTTTGAGGCTAAAGTTTTTCAGTTGGCTTACATATTAAAAGATTGTTCCTGGCTCTTACTGGTCAACACAAAAAATAAAAATGCTTTCTGCCTCTTCAGTCACATGGATTTCTCGTGCTTGGATTCCTTCATGGTATCACAGGGTGCCTGCTCCATTATCCTATCAATGCACTGAACTAATATATTCAGACTTGATCAGGAACTACATATTCTTGTGCAAGCTGTGCCTCAAATTACAGTAGCGAAGGAAAAAAAGTAACAAAGCCCTAACATACAGTAATAGATATGCTGTGATAGCCTTAATACTGTAAAACTTGTAAAAGTATCTTTAAACATTATTCTTTTTTCAATTTTCCAAGATTCTTCTCCACATTCCATCTTCTCTCTTCAGAAATTCAAGTTATTAAAAAAAAAATCTATCCTCTCTCCCAGTTTATTTCTCATTAAACTGGGGCTATCTCCTATCTTCAAGGAGTTTTACACCAGCAGATCACCTCACATTCTTTACTAGCCTATTAATATTTTAGTTCAAATGGGGATAAAATTTTCCATACACAGCTACTTAGTTACACATTTCATAATTACTTGTGGTCATTTTTTTAAAGTGATAAATAAACTTCAGTTCTGTTTATGTATGGGTCAGTTACTGGCCTCTGTGGGGGCATATTCTTTACCAAATTTTTGACAGTATGTCAGAACAGCTCTAAGAACAGCTTTTCAGAAGTAGATGGAAATGGTACTGATGGTGTTACCCCTATCAACAGAGGCTGTACATAACTCACAGCTGCAATTTCCAACAGTTAAGACCAAGATATACAAAACCATTATTATTTTCTTACGAGTGTCTGCAAATGCAATGACAACCAATTCAGCTACTTAAATTACATACAAGCTGAGTAAGGCCAAGGAAGCTTGCTCCATCAACCACATGGTATTGGACATATCAGAAATCAAAACTGTTCCTAAAACTCCATACCAGTCGTATGATTGCTTTACAGATGGTTTTCCTGTAAATAGAGCCTCATAATTTTGGAGGCATTGGTGAAAGAAGTCTCTATAAAATTTTTGAGAAAATTTGTGGCTGGTTTTAATTTTCCATCACAAAATTTGTTTGGAAACATAAACAATCTGCTCAATTTTATTTTTTTCTGCAGAAAAACATCAAAGTTTACCTGCAGCATATACAAGAGCTTAAAGATTGATTGCATTTCCAGTGATTTTAACTTGCTTAAACAGTTCAAATATCTGTGCATAACACCTCTTCAGAGTGGCTCAAAGCCTAGAAAGATTCTACAGGTTTGAATTCCAGGATGTCAGGAAGACAGTCTATACTTCTGAAAGATTTCACTTATGTTTAGTTTAACATTGATGGTCCCCTCTATATACGGAAACAGCATACTTTGCCTTCTATCATTCACGGTTCTCTCACCTGCAGTCTACAACCCAGTTATTCTTTACTAAGTCTCCACATTCCTCAACTAAGCAGTTCCAAGAATTAGTGTTGTAGTTCCATTTCAGTTTTATCTTTACATGTAAGCAGAAAAAAGTTAGATACAACAGGAAGCAAAATAAAACCTTACATTTATTATAAATACAATCTATTTCCTAGCTGTATGTGGCACGTGGGCAGCTGTAGGTGAAAATTACCTTGGGCGGCTGATTTGACCTCATCTGAGCTATTCTTAGTGCAGTAAGAAGGTTTCAATATAACAGATCAGTTGGCAGAAGTAAAGAAAATCTACAGCAGACTCCCTCCCCACCCTGTCACTGTTGAAATGACCTCAAAGAAAGGTACTCCAATTTTGTTCAAACACCAAGAGGGTGAAGAATCAGGAAAAATTATTCCTCTTTCCCTGTAACCCATAACTCAGGCACTTTTAGGATACATAGTCAACCCCACCAATACTGCTGTAGAAAGCTTATGCCTTGAAATATATGGATATAAGGAATTAGCAAAAAATTACACATTAATTCTAAACTAGAATTTGAACATTTTGTTTACATTATCAGGATTATGGTGGAAACTGCAACACATTTAAAAAAGTGTATCTTCCAGGTCTTAAAGACTGTTCTAATTTTTATGGCACTAGCCAAAAACTAAACAGAACTGCTCTGTGTTGACTACATTCATGAAAGTACTACCACACATTTCAGTAACAGCTGCTTCTGATGTCAGTGTTTCATTTTAGAGTTACAGAATATTTAGAATTTTCCCAAAGGCTTACCTCTGCTTCACTACAGGTCTGAATACTGACATCACACAGCAAGATCCTAAAGTCACTGAGCCACATCTGTTCACACAAGTTGAAGACAGATCTCACAAAAAATTAACTCAACAGTTGCAATAAGGAGTCTCAACAGCAAGAAGATGTTGCAATACCATGTTTTACATAATTATATTAATATCCCAAGTATCCTTAAAACGTATAGTGTTGGAGCATCATACTAAATGCTAGGAGCACTGTAAACACATTTTATTTTTTCACTGAAGTTTACATGAACAAAACATGTTAATTCAGTTGTTTAAATTCTCAACACAGAAGGCAGTGGTTTGGCTTTTTATTGGTAAACAGTAAATCATCTACTCAATAAAAATCGTGTTCTAACAATTCTGAGAAGTTCCACAGTGGCTTTATTTACTTACAATTTAATATCAGAAGAAAAAATTAACATTCCAGGTTACTGTAGGAAAAAAACTGTATACCATGCTTAATGGCATACAAGACTTCTAACAAGCAAAAAATACCCTGTTTTACAAGGATTCTCCATTTTAAATAGGTTTTTATCTTATCACAGTTAGTACTCTCTCCCCCTAAGCTACATATTGAGAATCTCTATATACAAAAAGATACAACAAATTGATACATTACTTATTGCAAGATATTAAGGATGCCAAAATACACAAATTAAATTAGTTCCCCCCACTTGCATACCCTCTTGCTTCTTATTTCTCCCATGAAGCAGTCTCCTTCTCTGGTTCTAAGATAAGGTTCTTTCAATGAAAGGCACGTACTTCTCTACAATAGAAGAAACAGATGCATTAATCTGAATGCCCTGTTTCAAGGTGAATTTAGCCTACATTTTTAAAGATGACACATTATGAAAGAACCCAGAGAGACGTGACATTTTATAATTAAATTTGACTGGAAAAACTCACAGTTACCATATTACTGTGAAGCAAAGTACCATAAACCTGCATTCATTTAGCCTTTCCAAATAGAGAGAAAACTCATTTACAAAAATAAAAAGGGATTTACCATGATGAATATATTTTTGAATCCTCAAGGCTCCTGAGTTCCTAGTGAAACTCTGGCAAGTCTTAGTAGCATTTCAGTTATGGAATACTACAAATAAATTGAGTAAATTTTTCTCCTTGTGACTTGCAGCACTGACCAAGTAGGTTCTATGTGAAGTCATAAAATGAGGATTGTAAACCAGTAGTGTGATATAAATTTGAAAAACAAACATGTGCTAATAGTATACTGTTCCTCTGTTAGCACGTATGTAAAGTTGTATTCGAGAGACCAAAGGCCAGAATTTCACACTTGGGCATTTAATAATAAGCTATTGAGCAAACTGGCTAAAACCCACTGTTTTGGTAAACAGCTGCAGCACAGAGACTAGTAACATGGATGATGATGACAGTGGGAGTACACTTAAATTGTGTCTATGCTACAGTGGAGGGCACTGGGGACCTTTTTTCATACAACTCCGAAAGAAAACAGCAACCCTTGAAAGCAGTAATGTATCTGGACACACTAACATTACTATGGTGATTTTTAGGAGAGAAGCCAGTTTCTCTACCTAGTCCTGCAAAGGGTCTAATACAGTTAACAGCTAACCCAAAATAAGCCTACAGGGATTTCTAATATAGGCATACTATTTAGAGTAGAGTATTACCTTAAAAAAAGCTTAATATTTGCAAGCAAGAAAAATGAAAACAGACCAGGTGCCACTACAGTCTTTTAACAGGTCACAAAGAAATTAGGAAAAAAGACATATTTTATATATAAAACAATACTTTTTTATATATACCAAAACTTGACTACTTTGGTGTCACTAACAAATATAAATTAACATGGAGATAAGAATTTCCTGTAACTGCTATGTTTTTTGGTGCCTTATATTACAAGGGAAAGAAACTTAAGCAGTAAATCAGCTCAACTGTTGAGTCTAAGTAAAGTAAAATTGCAACTGTTCTTTACTTAACAAAGCACTAAACTCAAAAAAATTTCATTTACCAAAAGCTTCTCTTCCTTGTTTCCAGGTTCCAGGCCTGACTATGTATTTAAGCTATCTTAAAAAAACCCCAATCAACCATAACTCTGAATTACTATAAATGTCAGAACAAAGTGTAATGACACCTCCCAAGAATATGTGAGTATCATTTTCATGATGTTGTCCTCAGCATCAAGTTTCTTTGCTTACTTAGGTATTTTGTATTCCCTTTGGCCATTGTGCTTAAGCAGCAACATGAAGACTGATTACTAAGCTTCAGTTCAGATGCAAACAGGTTGAAACAAGGGTGCAATAAATTACCTTATAAAGTACATTCCCAATCAAGATTAAAAAAATAAAATAATTCAAGCACTCTAGTTTTCAAACTATCCTCCCAGCAATGATGGATGTATCTTTGCAAAGTTTGAACACCATTTTATCAAGCTGCTGTACAGAGATTTGTGGAGTAAATTCACATTGTTCAGCCCTGCTTTCATCCTACCCATGAACACTACTTCAAATAAAAAGTAGCTCTTAAAATTTTATGAGCTTCTCCCCATAAAAGAGAACACAGGAAGATATCAATATACAAAAACAGAGAAAATTCACCATCTTCACTAAATCTAACTGAAGTCCTTGTTTTCCTGAGTTCCCAGTATCAAAACAAGAACTTCAATAATTTAGGCACAAACTTTCAGAGCACTATTGAAACAACAGTTTAGATACTTCTACTATGAAATACTTCAACAAATTTTTCTTCTCCTTCAAAATGAAGTATTTAGGAAACAGGAAGGCAGAAAAATCAGAAATAGGCTCTCCGAAAGTTGTAATTGTGTAATACTGTTTGTTAATGATGACTACCTAGATTATCATTTTACTTCCTGCTAAAAAATATAGCTGATACTCCTGTAAATAGGCATTTATAAAGAGTATCACATTAACTTATCAACAAATACCTTAACATCAACAAGTATGCTGAATTACAAGAGAAGCTAAAAGATTTAAGGAAGACATTGAGGGAATTCTTGGATATAATGTGACAATAGCAATTATATTTTACATATGTGTGAGTGTATACACATATGTAAATATATATATTATATATGTATAATAAATATATTATATATGTATAATATATATATATGTACTGGAACAAGACTAGTAACAAAGGGTAATGGTAAACGTCACATAATTTTAAAATGCAGAGGAATGCTAAGTAGAGATTCTCTAGCTATTTTAATCTATTGTATGGGAGAGAAAAAAACAAGAGAGGCTTCGACTTATGAGAACAATTAAATCAGAAAGATTCCCATTAAGGCGACAAAGTTAAAGAAGACTGAACATTTCTCTTCAAGTGCCGGAACTGCATACAAATTTCCTCCTGATAAACTGTAGAACACCTGACTCACTTTTAATCCGAGACATCATGTATTGCATTTATCCAACTTGCTTGAGATCTGAATCTGATTTCACATTAAGCAGTGTGAATCAATTACTTGTTGTGACTGGAAGAACTCGTCTGATCTCTTCTGATACTAACTTGACAATAGTCAAGTAGCCCTTACTATGAGCTATGACAATCCCATCAACTATTTTTACTGCATCTTCACACATGCAATGTGATGGCATTACTCAATAAGGAAAAATTTAAGTATGAATTGCATAAATTTAAATTTTAATTTATTATGTTTAAGGACACTAAGGAAACAGAATGAAAGCTCAAACAAAATTTGGGTTTGGAAGTTCAAACAAAATACAACAAAATTTTCCAGTATCTAAAAAATTTCCGAGAATAGCTTAAGAATACGAATCTTTCAGTGCAGCAGTACCAAATGTAAAATCTGGTGCAGGATCATCACCAGCTGCTGACTACTTTAGCCATAACAAAGAAGAATGAAGCAAAGCTGCTTGAAGGAGAACTCATAGGTGAAAATACACAGGAAAAACTGAGGAGCATTTAAATGAGGAAAAAAAAAAAAAGAAAAGAGAAAGATAAAAGCTAGCTGTTGACTTAACATTAACTTCAGCGACACTCTTTGTAACAAAAGTATCCTACCTTCCTCCGAATTTCTCTGGAACACACATGTTGAAGACAAATGGTGTTTATCTTCTTGCCCACTAAATTCTTGCCCATTTAAAATTCAAGTGATCTTGACATCCCTTCTCCAACTATGCATATGAAACAGAGTAGTGAGCTTTTTCAGAAAACTGCTTATCACCCACACTCCTTCACTTCTATGGCTAGAAGTACATTCAGGTTCTAAATACAAACCTTCGAGGATGGCTGGCATCAAACAGTGTTGTATCATCATCATCATCATCTTGTTCTAATGGAGTCAGCTCCATGTTTTCTATGTTCATATCCAAAACTCCATATCTTCGGGTTTTTCTATTTTGCCTTCTGAGCCTGAAAAGTATTTTAGAACATTCAAGTAATGGAAATCTTTTCCTACTTTCTGATCCAATAATGTAAAATACTGCTATATTGATAATTAGAGTAAGTTTTCTAAAACCTATGACAAGCGTACACACTTAGCTCTATGAAATTCAGAGGTCAGAAAATTTTAAGCGTCAACAGTTTACATGAAATTATTAAGGCCACTAAGAGTGTCATCTGTAGTTTTGTACAGGATTAATGCAGTGAATACAAAATGGCACTTAGCATCTAAATATAAGAGCCACATAAAAAAATATGCAAAAGCATACTTCAAACATACTTCTACTGAGAAAAAAATTGCTTTGCTACATATTCTCTATGTGTCTTACACATCTGTAAATAATAGCAGATCAAATCAGGTAGAAACCAAACACAGCTATATAGCAAAGCTATAACTTGTAACAAAAGTAATGGCTGACACTAGAAATTTTTATTATAATTTGTGACCTTTTTTTATAGATATCAAGTTTTAAAAATTGCCTATAATTACACTTTTGAATAAGACAGATCTTGTAGAGTCAATGTCTTGTCTGCTTCACAAAGTATGGAAGGAAGAGGCAGTAATTCCTCTTTTCAGGATTAAGGCACAGTGCTTATCATAGACAAGCAGACTGTGCATCTGCTTTTGTCACTCTCCACAGTTTTGCTGCATGGGCCTGGATCCCCTGTGCATCAGTCACACAATGAACCATTCCATTTGACTTTCCAGAACTACTCTTTAACTCATGGAACAAGCCTTGCTGAAGTTCCAGAGCTCAGACCAATAGCCACTCACCAAACACTGTGCAAAGACATCTGTTTACAGAATGCTGACAGAGTCATTTTCAGTAACTGGCTAACAATTACATGAAAGCTATAGGACTTAAAAAAAAGGGAAATAATTTGTGTCTAGGTACTTAGTGCTAAACACAAAGGTGGTAACAGGTCATTCATTTAGAAAATCCAGAATTTGCAACCTTAAGCTAGGTGCCTACCAAACATGTTTACAACATTCAGGAACTTCAACACAGAGTATTTCCGAGCGAATATAAAAAAAATTACTAATATATTACAATATTCTAGTATTGCTATAATACTACGCATAATACATTATATTATTGTATACTGTGCATAGTGACCTCTCTGTCCCACATTTAGGGAGCATTTTACCTATCTTGTAAGAGGTATCAAATACAATACTGAGATTCTCAGCTTCCAATCCTGTCCTGAAACTCCAGTCTACCTTGAAAGAACACACAACAGCATTCAATCTTGGTTTATCTTTTCACTATACTATAAAATATAGTATATCTTTTATATATACCAAACTATAAAATATATCTCCTTTTGGAATTGAGAAGTAAATGTAACCTTGTAAGAATGGGAAAGAGGAAAGAGGTAAAGTACATACCATTCTTCAAAGTTCTCAAATTTCTGATGTTATAAGAAATAATCAACACGGCCATTTCCTCCACTCTCAACTGACATGAAAATGCAGCAACTATTATCCCAGGCATTTAACTGCTTTAGACCAGAACAAAATACCCAGCTTTTTCATTTAAAGCTGACTACTACCAAAACCAAAATTTTCACCTTTCAGTCCAAGACATAGTCCCTTCCAAGTTCTTCATTTATTTCATCTGTTCTTTATTCCTCAACATAGAAAGAAGTTGTACACTACAAAGCACCAAGTAGAACAAAATTCTAAAACTTTTAAGATAACAGTATGATGAAAAATAGGGTTGTTTCTTACATATTGTGCCTTTTGGTTTTCACTAAAGTAGAGGTTAAGCAATTGGAACTAGGACAAGCATTGTGGATATCCTAGCAGATAAGAAACTATTTTAAACACATACACAAAAAAAGAAATTAAGAAGAGGTAGTACATGCTATTCATACAGTCAGTATTTCTGTCAATCTCACTTTACATTTTATCTTTTCCCCTTAATGGGTTAAAATGGAAAGTGAGTAGCTACTGTGATTTAAGAGTGACCTAAGACAATTATAGCAAATGTCTAGATGGTAGAAAAAGCAAATAAAACTTATCACAAAGCTATCACAGATTTTAGATTCAAGCAAATCCTGTTGAAAAAAGATACACTAATTACTTGAGACTCAAACCCTTCTCTATCTAAGTAGTAGTTTAAAAATTACAGCAACAGGAATACTGGAGATGCTTATGCAACATGCATGTATGCTCACAGCCATGACTCTAAAGCAGTGTCCTGAGTGTTAACAAAAGATCTTCTACTCTGTGACTGTCAACTGCTCAGTTGGAAGGGACCTACAACTACTATCAAGTCAACTGCCTGATCAACCCAAAATTTAAAGCATGATACCATGGGTATTGTCCAAATGCATCTTAAACACTGATCCCCTTTCTAAGAAGCTTGTTCCAGTCACTGACCACCCTGCCAGTAAAAAAATGCTTCCTAACATCCAATTTATACCTCTCTTGGTGCAACTATGAATCATTCCCATGCATCCTGTAGATGGATGTCAGCAGGAAGGGATAAGCATCTCCTTCCTCAGGGATCATGGGAACCTCAGGGAGCAATGAGGTCACCGCTCAGGCCTTTTCTATTCCAAAGTAGACCAACTCAATCCTCAGCCGCTCCTCAACAGGACAGGCCTTCCAACTCTTTAATCAGCTTGGTTCCCCAGTCTGGTTGTATTCATGTGCCTTGGTGTGCTACTTACTCTGCACACCGTTACTCACAAGAAGGCCATGACAATGTTGAATAAAGTTGGACAATCTCCTCCCTTGACTGTTTAGTTGTGCTTTGTGAGAACCACCCAAGGGTGAAGTTGCACATGTTGGCTCATATTTGAGCTTGCTGTCAGCTTGAGATCCCTCTATGCATGGCTGCTCTGCAGGCGCTTCTCTCCCACGTAAAACCAGTGTCCCGCTTTTGTTCTTGTTATATGTCCTGCCACTGGTAAATGCCCAATGCGCCAATCTATCTAGATCCCTATGCAAGGCCTCTCACACCTTGAGAGAGCCTACTGCACCTCCCAGTTTGGCATCATCCACAAAGTTGCTAATTGCCAATTCAACTCCTGTCTCCAGATAAGAGTACTGAGCAAAGCTGGCCCTAGAACTGAGCACTGAGGAGCAACACTGGTGACTGGGCACCAGCCTGATGCACTGATCCTCACTACAACCCTATAAGCCCTGTCATTCAGCTGTCTCTTCTACCAGTGCACCGCAAATTTACTCACCCCACAGCCGCAGAACTTGTCCAGAAGGATACTGTGAAGAACAGCACCAAAAGCCTTACTAAAATCCAGAAATGCTACACTCATTTTCTTCCCTTCATCCACTGGGCTGGCAGCTTGATAGAAATTTTGCAAAAAGTTTTTATGTCTTACAATAAGATATGTCCTCATGCCAAGGAAACCTATCCGAAAAAATGGGTCATTTGCACTTAATCCTTATATTTCTTATATAACCACTGCAAGAACATTTCAGCTACAAGTTCAAATTCAAAAATATGCAATTTACCTATTCTAAAGTTCAGAAGCAAGATGCCACAGAATTACAGAATAATGTGAATAAAGTAAAGCTTCCAGTTTACAGTAGCACCTAGAAGGCAGCACTCTAGTTGCAAATGCAGAACAGCATCCTACTACCAAAACCAGAATATCAAGTAACTACCACTCATCCAGAACATAATGACAATAGATGATCATTTTCCTCTCCAGCTCCTCCAATGACAGACTTTTATGTATTTATTTATTTGGCCTTTCAACAGCACTACTCACATCTCCAAATCCAACAGGCTGGTGTTACAAGACACACTAACACCGATAACTGCCCTCAAGGCTTCTCAAGAGTGATTTGCAAGATGCATGGAACAATCAAAATATCCTAGTTTACTTGGACTGCATATCTTAGTACATGACATACAAAAAACAGTCCTTCAACTGCCTTTCTAAACTAAATGATGCAGATATTAGACACAATGGGTATATCTAAATGTAATGAAAAGTACATGGAGAACTTGCTCCATAACTGAGGTGCTTTATGCATAATCATATATTTGGGCATTGCTCTGAAGAATTCAAGTTATTAAAGCATGAGAGAGAGAAGTAAAACTACCAGGACCTAAAAAAAAATACAGGGACAAACACTGTGCAAGCACTGAGCTACATGGAGAGTATTTTCCATGAGAAACAGAAAGGCAGCTAAGTGGTAGCAAGCTTCATAAGCTTTCTTTAAAAGACACAAAATAGATTAATTTAACTGTGAAAGAAAGCATAGAAGAAAACTGTTTATTGACAAAGGAGGGGAGGACAACTTTGGTAGTTTGGCGATACAGAAGTTTGCAAACTGGTCAAAAATCACTCTAAGAACAAACAAAGTAAATTTAGGTGGGCTGACGGATGCCAGCAGTGACAAGTCCACCCGAAGGGCACAGGATGGAGACGGGAAAGGCCCAACAATGATGCGCGGTTCTCGGCGACGTGAGCCGAGCAGACCGAACTGCTCCCCGCCCACACCGGGGAGGCGGTACCGGGAGCTTCCCAGAGCAGTCTGGCGCTACTGACCGGCCCCTCAGGAGGCGCGGGGCCGACACGCTCCGGAGCCCCAGCCGCGTAGCTGCGGCCCCCGCGCCCACACGCCCGCTCATCGCCCTCACCGCACGGTCCGGATCACGAAGTAGACGATGAGGGCGGCGCTGGCCAGAACCAGCACGGACAGGGCGCGCTGGGTCATGGGCTGGCCCTGCTCGGGCGGCGCCGACACCTCGGCCAGGCGGCTGCTGCTGCTACTACTGTTGCTGCTGCTACGCGTGGAGGCCCCGCTGGCCGCCTCCGTTGAGCGTGGGGAAGCGGTGGTGGCGTCCCGGGGGCGAGGGGCCGCAGCCTCCGCGCAGCGGGCGGCCTCCAGCAGCACCAGCAACACCAGCAGCGGCCCCACCAAGAGCTGCGGCAGCGTCGGCGACCGCATCTCTCCCTGCCTCCCGCCCACTACGGCCGCGTAGTGCGGCTGGGCCCTGTCGCCGTCAGTGAGGCCGCCGGAAGCGGAAGCTTCTCCATTCCCTCTCCGTGTCGCCACATTTCTTTCGTGGGTCCCCCTCTTTTTGTCTGGATGGTCAGCAGCGCTTGGGGGCGAGTGAGGGGCTATTTCGAATGTAACAAATTTAAGGCGGGATATTTTTTTAACCAGTCCTCTGTTTTACCCTGATTCTGTGTTCAAAAGAACAGAAATTTTATAACTGACTTTAGTGAAAGCAGAAATGTTAAAGAAACTTCCCAGAGTGACCATTTACGAGACTCCGTGGCAGCCACTTCCCAATGTCGCCTTCACATGGGCGGCTCCAGTGGCCCGATGTGTCCTCGCTTATCTCCTCACATGCCCCACTCACGCAGACTGGATTTCCCACAGCAGTCTCAGATGTCTTGTTGACGGTGCAGGACCTGGTCCTCCGATACTACCGAGCTACCTGCAGCAGACATATTCCTCAACAATAAAGCAAAAGAGTGGTTTGGAAAGTGTCCTGAAAACTAATTTTTGCTTCAGCTATGTTCAGTGGTGGAAAGATCAGGAAAGGTCTAGATGGACCACAACTGAAGGTGATGGAGCAGTATTACAAAGCCAATGAACATGGATGTCAAGACCCTGACTTAGGGTGATGCTACAGAGTAACTCTCCATGACTTTTATTGCTCTTGTGGCTCATTGTTCCTCAACTAAACACTGTCCCGATAGAATAGAATCCTTTACCTGCTAGAATGCATTGTAAGATTCTTTTTAGTGGCATGTTTGGTTTGTTACTGTATACTTCAGCAAAGATTTCAGGGGTATAGTGTGCCTACAGAATGAGAACTCTACATTGGTGGTCAGCTCTTTGACATTTGTCATGATGTGAAAGGGAATGTATAAAATGCCAGAGTAGCAAAGAAGCCTTGTGCAGATATATATCTGCAGCTGAAGTAACGGGCAACAACCAGATTTTGTTCAGACGCAGACTCATTATCCCAGTGGCCTTAAACTTAAGCAATTATAGTGGGTCATATAAAATCACATATAGATACTGTGAAAATAGTGATTAGTTTACTTATTAACAAGTTAACAAGTTTAGCATTGCATTAACTGAGAAAACAGATTCACGGTCTTGTGTCACACAATTAGTGTGAATTTGGAAAGTGTAAAACTGATTTAAGTAGTATGTGAGACATTAAACTATCCCATGTCTCCCCCTTGAAAAATGGCAGACCTTTAATGGGAATAATGTTTCAGATTATATGAGCAACACATTTTGCTGAAGGTGCTGTAGGGATGGAACATGTGAATAAGCTTCTGTGATAGCTTTTTACAAGGTTTATGACTTCAACAGAGCTTGACTGATTCAGGTCCTCCCACTGCCAATATGTATCACCCTGCTTCTATCCTATTAATTACCGTGAGATATATTTTCTCTTGACAAGTCCAAGCAACTTATTTGCAGCTCAGGGACATACAACAGAGGAAAGTGTTACATTCAAAAGAAATATTCTTCTTAGAAAGACAGTCACTGATGTTAAATTGTCCTATAGAAATGTCCTTGATGCATGGACTGTGTAAAGTCTAACAGTGCTGGGTTGCTCACTTAGGATGATAAAATGAAATACAGTGTTGTAAACTGCATGTCAGATGCAAAGCATTAGGGGAAAAGAAAAGAGGATTGCCTTGGTCAGTAAAAATTATGACAGGGCAATATTAGTGTTTTAAAATGCCCTCTTGGCAAAACCATCATCCTTAAAACCAAGAGTTCTAGTGGGGAAAGTTGTTTTTTGAAGATTTTTTTTCCCAAATCGGAAGCTAGTGCTCTTAATAATCAGATTAAGATAGCCTTTGAGTTTTCAGATAGAAACTTAAAAAGTAGAGCAATTTATGTTCTTTATTTTCAAACAAAAAGAATTAATGAAGTCCTTGAATATTTGATTGTTTCTTTAATCTGGGGGAGGGGTGGAGGTTGTTTAATTGTTGAAATGCATAGATTTATTCAGTATTCAAGTCAGGTATTAATACAAAACACTTGTATCCAAAAAATCTGAGTGCAAAAATTGCTTCAAGAGCGCCATAAGAGAATTTTTTTCATGAAGTGTAACATAACTTCAAACCTGTGTGTAAAAACGAGCAATCATTTTTAGATATTTTTATAATTCCGGACTATTAGTAATTGTCTAACTTATTGGTTAGAGACAAAGTAATGAAATAGAATTTTTAAAAATTGTGATGTTCTGTGATCATTATAGTATACAACATGTGTCTTTGGGTTATAGTTCCCCATTCTGAGTTAAAATGTAGAACCTTTTTCACTTACAAAAGGAATATGAAACTTTCTTGTCTTATACCTAAACGGAAGAATTTGAGTGCCAGTGAAAGACCCTGAGGCAGTTACATTGTCCATTATTAAAAATAATGGAGCTTACTTCTTACTTGAGTTTTACCTTTGAGGGAAAAAAAAAAGTTTAAAAACCTTCCTTTTTTTTTTTTTTTTTTTCCATCAAACAGACCTTCCAGATTAATTGGAAGAGGACATAAATTACTTTACACAATTATTTGAGTGTCAAGGATGTCTGAGGTCTTCTCATCAGAAAATGAAACAGTACTTTGGAGAAAGACACTTAAGAGCTCTGTATATTTTCCATTTTTCTTGTTTAACTAGTTGAACTAAATTGTCATTTTATGGTTCCTGATACTTGTAGCACCAAAGAGCAACACATCTATTTCCTTTTCTCTCACCACTATAATTCTGTCTATATCATAGAATATTCTGTGTTGGAAAGAGCCTACAAGGATCATTAGGTCCAGTTCTTAAGTGAAAGGTCCGTATGAGCATCAAACCCACAACCTTGGTATTTGCTAACACCACTCTCAATTGCAAGTTGTTTATTTTCATCCTTTATGAAGTCTTTGTGGAATGATTTTCCAATATTTTGAGAAATGAAGACAAAAGAGGTGAGTGCACTTTTCTGCTCTATCGGAGGTTATCAAGGACCGTGCTGCCTGCTGGCCCTGTAAGCCATATTAAGCCCTTAAACCCTGAAACTATCCAGTTCTTTAGGTCTCTGAATCATGTTCTATACTCTATTACTTATGCTATCTGAGGACATCTTTGTCCAAATGTATCTTGTGAAAAACACCAATCACTTGTTTTAAAATTTTAAACTTTTAATAGTAATAAAATGGTTATTAAAACAGTAATAACAATTAGAGCAATATGAGCAAACTCAATGGACAGAGTTAGGACAATAAAGGAAAATAAAAAAGGAAAGAATTAAGCATGTCTGGATGCTTCCTGGGCATTAAGCCCCCAAAAAGCATACCTGCTAACAAAGGGTTAAAAAGCAGCAGCCTGTTGTATATTCATATATCTCATACATGAAGCAAACATTCCTTTTGAACTAGGGAGTTTTCTGTTTATTTTCAACTTCTTCCCCCTTCCTCTTGTAAATCATTGTTTGATTCCTCACAGTCTGGAAGGAGGTGGAAGGAGTCTGGTTCTTCCTGATAAGGAGGCAATAATTCTTCTCTGAGATTTTAGTGTCTTGTTGCTGTTATCTCTGTGTGAAGAATTTCTTGATTATCTTATCCGTTCCTTGAGCTAGTTACAAAAAGTATTTTACATCACATAGTTTCTATTTTAATATTGGGTTATAGCCTAAAACTATATTTACCACACTACTTGAAAAGGATTAATACAGTACTACAAATTAATACAACATAGCACATTTAGTATTCCTTTTAATATTTGCAAAGAGCCATATGATATATATTTTTCACATATCTATAGTTACCCTTGCAGAGATCAGAAATCTTTTTGAGTAATCATTTAAAAAAACTCAGTTAAGTCGTTTTCTGTTTAATGACTCTTCCCCTGATGATATGCAAACTAGCTGTAGACTGTTGCAAAACTGCACAGTATGCTCTGCAAAGAATTTACAACTATACTTTGTAAACTTTTCTAAGAAAAAATTTGTTTTATATTTAAAATGAATAAATAATGAATATATTTATATATTTATTATATTATTAATACAGTATTATATTATATTTGTATAATATATTTAAAATGGATAAAAATTCATTTTATATTTGTCTATGATTGGTACTTGACTGCTTTTGAGAATGCAGCTGAGTGCCTTTTTAGATAGGTGCCTTTAAAAAATAGCCTAAGCTATTTAGGTCTACATAATTGTTATTTGAAATGTCTTCATTTGCTCTGCACAAAACTAATTGAGCTATTTTATTTAAAGAAAACTTTGTGAAAAAGATAGTATGATTTCTTGAGCATGAAATGGTATCTACAATGTGAAGGTAAGGAATACTTTGAAAGCTGAAAAATATTGCCTAAAACCAGGTTTTGAATGGAATTCTGATGCTGCACATAGATGTACCCCAGAGGAGATATGGACTGGCACATCCTATACCTGTGCAGTTACAGAGCCAGGGACTCCTATTCTATTCTATTCTATTCTATTCTATTCTATTCTATTCTATTCTATTCTATTCTGTTCTATCCTATCCTATCCTATCCTATCCTAGTCTAGTCTAGTCTAGTCTAGTCTTTGTCCTTTTCATGGAATTCCTACACAAAATGCTTATCATAAATAAAATAGTTTTTTATATTTCTCTGTAAGTTTTTGCCAAAATGCCTTGAAGGCGCTATGAAATCCCATAATGTTTCACATTATTTTTTCATGTTTGTCTATTATCTTTTGGTCTTGTGGTACCAAAGGGCTCTGACAGTGCCAGGATCAATTACCTGTGCCCAAGAACATGAAATAATTAAGAGAGAGGCAAAAAATGCTACTTAAAAGAAACCCCGAAACTTTATGCTTTTTATTTTAAATTATAAACATAGATTTAAGATAATAAATAATAAACATATATTTTAGATTCATTATTTTAAGATATTTAAATAACAAACATAGATTTTAAACAATAAACATAGATTTAATAACACATAAATTAGTGTTCTTTTAGGAATAGAATTTTGGGGTGAAACTTGCTAGTAAAAGCAGTGCAATTGTTTTTGCATTTTAAGGAGAGGAACAATAAGAATTAACAATAAATTTTTCTCTTTTTATTGTGCTTTTGTAAAATTGAGCTGCCCAATAGAGTCCGCTTTAATTATAACAGCTAGTTGCTGAAGGCAGACAAGCTACTTTAATTGGTTTCAAAGAAGGAATAATTTTATATTGGTACTGAACACAGCTGGATAGAAACTTTCTAACACAGCTTTAAGTATTAGAAAGCATGCATTCTTTAAGACAACTTGCTGGACACAAGGAACATTTTCTTCTAGTCTTGTGTAACCAAAGACAGGCAAGTCAGGCTTTTTGTTACACATATTGTTTACATATTTATCAGGTATCTATTGTAGAAACAGGCAATCCCCAGCCAGGGAATAATGTGCTTTGACTCCATGATTCAGAAAAGCTGAACAAATGTTTTATTAAGCTATACTATATAACACTAATACTATACAAAATTACATACTAAAGATATACTATACTAAAAGGACACTATATTAAAAAGATACTAGAGAATACTATACTAACGAAAAATCCATGACCGTCTGCAGACAGTCACAATACACCTTTGACCCAGCTGGCCAAGGAATCAAAACAACTTTCACCGGTGTCCAGTAACCAAATCACTTTTGGTAAACAATCTCCATAACACATTCCACGCAGTGAATAAATGTAAGAATTGTTTTCTCTTCTTCTCTGAGGTTCTCACTGCCTTCCTCAGGAAAAATCCTGGGAGAGAGAATTATGTCTCTCCCTGTTCAGAGATTGTGAATACCACAGGTATCCTTGGTTGCTAGATGTATATTTGTTGCCCTGTTTTGCATAGTTCCATCCCTATCTGAAGTTCTTATTTGATCCTCAGGGGTCTCTTTCAGTGTCTCTGGCAATGTTTGATGACCAAATTGTGGTGTCTGCTGGTTGACCACTAGTTCTGAGCAAGCACAGTTTGTTTCCAGCAATTTGCAAGGCTGTTTTTATCTATCTATGCTCCCAGAGCTCAGCCCACATCCCCAGGACTTCTCCAAGATTGTTCTGCAATGTGAACAGCATTCTGTTACTTATTAGGCCATGGGATGTAGCAATGTACCATTTCCCTTATCAATATACAACTATATTTTAAAAAAAGTGGCTTATAGCACCAATAAATTTACTTAAGGATTTTCAAATTACTTCTTGATACTGGTCCAAGATAATACTTCTTTGGCAAGTTTTCCTCTACAATGGTATCTTTTGGTATTCCAATGAACATTTTTTTTTCATTATTCTCATATTTATCTTCAGGTCTAACAGCTTCCAAGAGAATCTAGGCTATCTACCTACAGAGGAAATCCAGAAGGAGTCCCAGCTTGTATCATGCATTATAGGTGCCCTTCTTTCATGTTCCCATGCTTCTTTTATTTTAACTGAATTGATCCAAATCTGTGATACCTTCATGTTTTGAGCCTGTGGACCATTGCAGCCTCTTCCTCTTTCACAGAGACACTGTAAACTTCCTAGAGGCACTCTGCCCCTCAGCTGAAGTTAAATCATGTTGCTACCAAGCACTGTCTTCTGCAGCGCTTTGTGAAAATCTTCTGCTCTCTTCCTCAGAAATAACAGCTCTGTCCTGACAAGTGATTAGCAAAAGGGCAAAAATGCTCCACTAGAGGGAGCACCGTGAGTGCCATATGTTGATTGTTCTTAATGACAATAGCTCGTTTCTTTTCCAGGCTTCTCTGGTCTACACAGAGACTCACCTGTACAGATGTGCTACTCCTAGTAAAAGCTTTCTGCTTTTTATAGGACACATACTTCATGCACTTGTGGTAGTCCTGTCCCTTCCTGGAAGCCCTGAATATTCTCTATAAGGATGAGTTGCTTATGGCTGTTTCCTGATGCTGAAAGCATGTATGATGTCTGCTGTTGAAAAGGGTTGGAGGTTAGGGCTTCAAAATAAACAGCACTTCTTCCCACTTTGATTACTTCTTAAAACTCTAATGTATCCATTTCAGAGATTTACATTCATGACTGTCATTAAATGCCAGAAATTTCCTGATTAATTGCCACATTTAAGTATTCTCTAGGTTTGCATTACTCCTTGCCATTTAAAGTTATATGTTTTCCTATTTCTGAAACTTTGATGTTTTGATTGCTCGTATTTTTTCTTGCAAAAGTATCAAGAATCCAATATGTTGTGTCAGTGGTGAGGTATAGTATCCATGGCTTTAATACATTCCCAAAAGATGATTTTCATGAGATGGGAAACAAAGGGAAAAGAAAAAAGCAAATTAAAAATATATTCTCTGACATTTTTCTTGTTTTGTCAAAAAAGAGCTTGTTTTAAGAACAAAAAAAATACAACAGTGCTATCAGTTACAGAAATCTATTTATTTCCTCTATGAAACTGTGGAATGGTAACACAATTTTCTGCTTAGAACTCTTTGGATTATTTATGGAGAGTTAATTAAATCTCAGACACTTAGATTCTTAGTATTATGCACACAACCAATTTACTTTAAAACACACAAGATTACATGCAACTACTCTGAAGATGCAGAAAGTAGAGTTCATTATGAATATTTTCTGTAATCTTAGAACAGATAGTGGTCTTAAAAGACTAAATGGTTTAACAGCTAACTGGTTTTCAATATAAAAGTGAGTTAGAAATTTTTTCAAACACAGCTTACGCTCATGAATCAAGTGTCAAGAACCACAATTCACAGTTGGACCTTTATCACACTTTACTCTTTGTCTTCAAAGACACGTTGAATGAAAAAGAGAAATTAAGAGCAGACCATACAGGGATAATAGCTGAAAATATGGAGAGTGCTTGTTGCTGATAATACTTCTAATTATTTTAAAATATTTGGAGTTGTCACCTGTCAACAGTGAAATGCAAGAGACAAAAAAAAATTAATTGGTAACATTTTGTTGAGAAATAAAAGTTTAGCAAAAGAGCCAGTGAAGTGTGTCATATCAAGCAGGATGCAGACAGAAAATACAGCCTTGAAGAAAGCAGAAAATTTCATAATAAGGCCTATCTAGAGAATACACCAAGACACAGATATACTGTAAATAATGGGTTATAAGGAGGTAAACCAGCAAGATTGCCTTACACATTTGCATTGTGTTCTTTCTCTAGATGGTCATATTATAGCAGAAAAGAGACCCTATGTTGCATATAGGCAGAGATATTATCAATGAAAAGCCTTATAAAATATGGTTTAGGCCCTGCAACTCCACTTAAGCTAGCAGTTAGATTGCAACTTGATGTGAAAGATCATAAGAATGAAAGCCATTAGCACAACAAACCATTCTGGTAAGAGAATCATTTGCACCTGTAATAAACAAGAAATCTGTCGCATGCAAATTAGTAAACAAAATATGTCAATTAACCAAAAATAGAGAGATTTGACAGATGTACACCCTGGCCATTTACTGACCAATAAACTGAGTGTCAGTGTATCATTAGCCAGTTAGGTCTAACAGAGTGCCTTCTGATATTTCATATAAATATGAGATATGTGAATAAAGAATGGGCTTTTCCTGCATGAAGAAACTGAGTCCTGTCTGATTATTAAAACAACAAACCTACAACTGCCATAACTAATTACTACCAAAAATTCAGTCTCAAATTCTTTGATTAAATGCTGTAATCCTTACAGTAATTTGGTATGGGAAGTAATTTGCTATGGTGAGTTTCCTCCTCTGTGTCTACCCTTCTTATCATTAACAACCTTTCCAATAGGAAAGATTCAAGAGTGGCTTTGACAATTTTTCCTCTCTCTTTTATGTACAAGTTCCTTTCAGACAAATATAAAGTGAAGCTGTTGACATTGCTAAATTAGGTTCTTATGAGTCATAGCACCTATCTTTTCCATCTAAAGTAGATTAGATGAGTACTTAGAAAAAGAGGGGGAGGGAAATGAACACATTAAAAATATAGTCTGCTATGTGCAATTTTATTTTAAAAATGTGCCTCTCAGAAAGCTTGAAAGTACCTTTAAAATTGTAATGTCTTGTAATCTTCTAATATCAGGGAAAGATACTGATTTATGTGTTAGAATCTGATACTTCATGACAGAAAATTGAGCTTGCAACCCTTTAACAATTATCTTCCACATTTCAATGAATATTGTAATGTCAAAATTTTCCTATGTAAGAAAGCATGTGGTATCAGAAAGATCCAGGACAAAACTTAGAGAATGTTTTCTCTGTGGATGAAGGTAATGCAGAAGTATGTTGACAGTAAGTGATGCCTGTAGTAGAACTGCTTTTCAGAACACACTTCAGACTCAGTCAGAATTTTACAGGCTCATTTTAATGACTCACTCACTCACTCACTTGAGTGTCTGCCTCTGAGAAATTTGTGACAGTTTTTATATATTGATATAATTAATTGTACAAATTTCAAAATGTTATTTTGAAACATAATTAGAAGTATTTTAAATGAAATCTTTAACAAAAAACCCCCCCAGTATTCTAAAATACAAGTTAGTGCTTCAGTACACAGAAGCTGACATTATGCACCATCAACACTTCCTAATATCTAGACTTCAAGTGTCTTTTGTGTTGGTATGAGAAGCAAATCCCCATGGCTGTTGCCTCTATTCTCTGCAGAAATACTGAGTAGATGGTGTTGATGCATGTAGCTTTGCTCCTCCCTTCACCTTCATGCATCATTCATCCTACCTTTCTCAACATGGTGTGCACTTTGCACCCCTCATTTATCAGCTCTGTCTTTTCCCATTCCTGATTGCATTAGAGGGCTTCAAGTGGGTTCCTTGTGCTTGTCTCTGGCAGAAACCGTAGAGGCTTATAAAGGGCAACCTGGTCATGAACTCTGAGGCTCTGATGAGGAGAAGAGTGGTGATAGTATGGGTGGCATTGGTAGAGAAGGGACCTCGGGAGGGGAAGGGAGCAGGAGCTCAATGCAACTCAGCCCTTCTCACAGACAGGCTATCAGTCACTCCTTTTCTTTCTGTAAGATAAGGAATTCAGACTCAATGTTGAATAAAATGCTTTCAGACTGAGTCAGCAACTTCAATTCCAAATTATAGGTATAAAAGGTGATGATGCAAGGAAAGTAGCATGTGACCTCCTGTCTACCAGATTGTCTCTGGAGGTGTGTTCAGCAGTCTGAGAATATCTTGTACTCCTTGTGTGTACTTATCATTTGCTCTCCATGCACAGCCACAATCAAAATGAGAATAAAGGTGATAAAAGGGTGATGGGATAGAAAGAGGATTTTGAAATTTCTGAGAAGAGTGTGTTTCTGTATGCATTCCGGTCTTCCACAGAGTACAGGAGTTGTGAATTCCCAGGGGCAAGAAATCAGGCAAGGAAGACAAGATAACATGGCTGAGCTGGGACCTGCTGGTCAGACTAAAGGGAAAAAAGCAAATTCACAGGAACTTGAAGCAAATACAGGTGACCTGAGAAGAATATAGAGATATATGATTGTTTAGGGATGGGACAAGGAAGACTAAGGTGAAACTGGAACTGAACCTGGGAAGAAACACAACAGGAAGGGCTTCCTACAGGTGTAGAAAAGGCAGGTCAAAGAAGGTGTATCTTCCCCAATACACAATACTGGAAAACTTGTAACAACTGGTGAGAAGCCTGAGGTACTTAACAATTTTTTACCTCCATCTTCAATGACCCTCTCTGTTCCCTCACCTCTCAAGTCAGTAAACAGCAGGATGGGGGCTGGAAGAGCATGTTCCCTCTGACTGTAAGTGAAGATCAAGTTTGTGACTAGCTGAGAACCCTGAATATACTTAAGTCTGTTGCAATGTGATGAGATGCATCCTGAAGGAGAGGATGAGATGGGAGTCCTGAGGGAGTTCGTTCATGTAGTTGCCAAGGCACTATTTGAAAAGTCATGGCACTCAGATGAAGTTCCAGGTGACTGGGAAAGGGAAACATTTTAGCCATCTTTAAGAAAGGTAGAAAGGAGCACTCTGGGAACTATCAGCCTGTTAGTCTCACCTCTGTGCCTGGGAAGATCATGAAATAAATCCTTGCCAGAACCTCTACTAAGGCACACAGAAGACAGAGAAGCCCAGCTTCACCAAGAGCAAGTCTTTTCTGATGTTGGTTGATGTTTTATGATGGAGTGGCTACATCAATGAACAAGGGAAGGGTTCCAGATGACATCTATCTGGATTTCTGTAGAGATTTTGGCACGGTCCCCCACAGCTTCCTTCTCTCTAAATCGTATTTGAAGAGGACAGTTAGATGGATAAGAAAGTGATTGGATCACTTCCAGAGGGTAATGGTCACTGGCTGGATGGAAAAGTGACAAGTGGTTTCCTTCAGGGGTCAGTATTTGGACCAGTGTTATTTAATATCTTCATTAATGACAAAGGTGAAGGATTTTAGTGCACCCTCAGCAAGTTTGCAGATGGCACCAATTTGAGAGGTATGGTTGACACACCTGAGGGACAGGAAAACATCCAGAAAGACCTGGACAAGCTCAAGAAGTAGTCCATGGGAATCTCATGAGAGCTATGAAGATGATGAAGGATCTCAAGGCCAAGGCTCCAGGGGGTTTGAAGAGCAGTTGAGGTCACTTGTACTGTTCAGCCTGAAGAAGAGGACACTGACAGGAGACCTCATCACACTCTACAGCTTTCTTGTGAGGGGAAGAGGAGGAGCAGACACTGATCTCTTCTTTGTGGTTACCAGTGACAGGACCCAAAATAGGCTCCCCAAGGATGTAGTCACAGCACTAGACCTAACAGAGGTGAAGAAGCATTTGTACAATGGTTTCAGGTCCATGGCATGATTAGTAGGGGATGGTTCTGTGTAGGCTCAGGAGCTGGGTTCAGTGATCCTTGTGGGTCCCTTCCAACTTGGCATTTCCTGTGATCCTGTATATTAACACATTGAACTTTGTGTTTCGTGAGATTTCTCCACTCCTGACAGATGAAGACTGCAACCATTGCTTCAACCAACAGACACCAAAATTACAACAACCAAGTCCCATTGTTGGACCAATGGGGGGTGACTATATATACCTTTCTACTCTGTCTTCTTTTCTTTCTCTTTATTTTCTTTCTTTTCTTGTTTTACATTCTGTTAAGTGCTATTTTTCTAATATTTTATTGGTATATTACAATAGATTATAACCAAAATGGCTACATAACTGCTTTCCATTGCAACCAAATTGTTCTAAAATAAACCCTAAATATCTGTTTACAAACACTGATCATTCACCTTTCAGCGTGGGTCATAAGAGGGTGGGTCATAAGAGAGAGTGCTGAGGCACTGGAACACATTGCCCAGAGAAATTGCAGATGATCTCAGGGATTTGAATTGAGATGCCCAATGGTCAAAATGCAAGCATTTCCAAAAGCATTCAAAAGCAGCAAGTCAGGCTGCTGGTGGGAAGTTAGCCTTTCCCAGCACTTCAGTGAAACTATATACCTGTGGCCCCTGACTTTGAGCATGGAGGCTAAAAAGGAAGAAAATTCTGCCATTGCTTTTTCTCTCAT